GCACAGGTACATCAAGGAGAAGGGACAAGACGGGGTACGTGTGGTTTCCCAGGATGATGCCCCAGGTGGTCTCAGTACATTCTTTCCCTCAGAACATGCTGGCAGGAGACCAGCATGGCCACATCAGCAAGGGGGACAGCAAAGCAGAGGCACAGGTGAGCCACCGGTTCCCAGCTCACACCACCCCATCCTATGGGATGGGGCCAGAATGGGGCCTAGACTAGGGGGCTCTGCCAGGGAAGAAGGACAGGGGCCCACCAGGGGGGCCTACCTGAGAAGGCAGGTGTGGGCACAGGCTGGAGGTGGCTCTGGAGCACTAACCCCAGCTCAGGTTGGCATGACCCTCAGCCAGTTAGTTCTTCCCCAAGGGCCTCTGGGAGTCTCCATCCTCCCCAGGGCTCAGGGCCCTGTCTTTGAGACAGGTGCCACAGCACCTAACTGTCATGATGAGTCCAGAAAAGCTGAGACAAGGGACAATTTGTGACCATGCCACAGTGGAAAGAGCATCTCTGGGTCATGGCTGCTAACACTGCCCCTGACGTCGTTAGCACGTGCACCCCAACCATGGGCCAGAGAGCATCTCTGACCTCCAAGGTCTAGGGTCAGGGCGGTTCACTGCGGCCTTCGGAGGTGCTGACATCTGATGCAGACTCCATCTCACCACCTGAACCCCCACAGGCTGCCCAGCACCCCCGTTTCCCACTGAGGATGCTAGGCTCAAGGCCTTCATCAGGGAAAGAAGGAAGTTCAAGGCGTGGGCCTCAAAAGCAGGCCTCTCCCGTGCACGTCACTTGCTCCCTGGGTGGCTCTGCAAGAGACTGGAGTGTCCAACCTTCCCCAACAGCAAGGCAGCTACACCAGAGCCAGGCTCAGATCAGCAATGGGGAGGCAGAGAGGTCCAGGCCCAAGGGAGCCCATGGCCTGACATCTGTACCCAGGGAGGCCACAGGCATGGTGACAGTGGCGATAGCTGCCACTGTACTGTGAGAGATGCACTTAGTTTGGCCCCAAAGGTCTCTATCCCCAGCTCTGTCTCTTAAGGGTGCTTCACTTTGGACAAAGGGGGCCTCTGTGGGGCCAAATGCACCGGGAAAGAACCCCAGTGCCCTGTGTAGACAAACTCTCTAGAGCAGCGGTTCTCAACCTGTGGGTCGCAACCCACAGAAACTGTATTAAAGGGATGCAGCATTAGGAAGCTTGAGAACCACTGCTCTAGAGCCTGGTCAGGCCCATTTTGCACTAAACACAAAACTCAGGGAGTGTGCACCAGGGGTGCTCAGCCAGCATCCACGGAAAGCACAGACTCCTCCCACTCCCCAGGGCTTTGTAGCTGTGGGGCAAATTAGCTGTTAATGTGCGGAAGTCATCTTCCAGGGGAGGAATAGGCTGCTGGGGAAATATTTTTCAATAGCGCTGGTCCCTGTTTTTAGACTTCTAGAGAATGCAAGCAGCTCAAATGAAAGGCATCATTACACGGCATCTGCTGGAAAGCAAAGAGTTAACTCATTTCAAAAGAAACAAAAATTTTGTTTCACCTACAATGAGAAAAAAGGTGGCTAGGACTTTGAGACCAACTCACCCAGCCTCATCATTATGCTGCTAAGGATAAAAGAAAAAGAAGAGTTGCCCTGAGTTGCCAAAGCCGTCACTGTGTTCCGTGGTCTTTATTAAGAAAGACGGGTCCAGCTCAGCGCCTGTAACTCAGTGGGTAGGACACCAGCCACATACACCAGAGCTGACAGGTTCAAACCTGGCCTAGAGCTGCCAAACAACAATGACAAGTGCAGCCACAAAATAGCCGGGTGTTGTGATGGGCACCTGGAGTCCCAGTTATTTGGGAGGCTGAGGCAAGAGAATCGCTTAAGCCCTAGAGTTTGAGGTTGCTGTGAGCTGTGATGCCACAGCACTCTACCAAGGGCAACATAGTGAGATTCTGTCTCAAAAAAAAAAAAAAGAAAGAAAGAAAGACGGGTCCAATTTTCCAATGTGAACACAACTAACAGCCAGGAAACCTTCACCTAGGAGAACATCTCCTTCAGATCATTGACAGCTTGTGGTCAATAAAAATCTCTCATTCCTGGCCTCCACTCTCTCTCAAACCAAAGTCCATGACTGGAAAAACTGGGTCATCAGACACATGCAGCTCTGAACCTATCTGTGACCTACAGTCTCAGCCAGAGTCACCAGGCATCAGCTGCAGAACAACTTGCCCTGTCCCTGGGAAGAAGGAGCCAGAGAAGGAAGACTGGCCCCTTACTGCAAGATCCGTTTCTTTCTGCAATTAGAAGTGGTTTTTATTCTTTGATAATTGCTAAGTCGCTGAATGCCTGCCATGAGTCATTCCCATGTTTCATCTGTGAATTAATTCTCACATATGCCTCAGGCACAAGAAAAATGAAGTAGGTCCTACTATTGTCCCCATTTTATAGACAGGAAAATTGAGTCTCAAGTTATATAACTCCCAAGGTCCCACAGCTAGGAAACGGGGGAGCTAGGATTCCAGCCCAGCCCTGGCCGCTGACTTCAGTGCTCCCGTCCACCAGTGGTTTCTTAGTGTCTATGGGCATGTAGGGAAAAGCTTTTCCTGCTCAGAAAATCCAGAAAGTGGCATTTGTTTTAGGATGCTAATTTTTTTTAAGATTCTATAAATTTTTTCCTAAATCTTTACAGTAAGTACACGGTGAGCACACAAAAGGGGCTAGAAGTAACAGAGACTTAGCACAGCAGGGAAAAGCTAATTCTGATAAATTCACTGAAACCCGCGTTGCCCCTGCATGGCCTCAGCACACCTTCCCACCTCCAGGTGCAGACCCTTGACCCACAGGAACGTGGACAGTGGTGGCAGCAACAGCCCTGAGTCTCAGCTGCTGAGCAGCACCCAAGCTGAGCCCAGATAAACTCGCCTACAATGCCCGGGTGCCATCCTGCTCTCCACATGTCACTGCGAGAGTACTGAAGCTCCCCAAGGCCTCCTCCTGTGCCCAGATTCTCCCACCAGCAAGGGGCAAAACCGTCACTGGGGCCATGCAACTCCTGAGCCAGCTATGAACACTAGCTGCCCCAGAAGGGCCCAGAGGCAGCCTCCTGTCTGGCTAAGGACAGCCCTGGGTGACCCATCACTCATCCCAGACCCAGGGCAAGTCTTGTCAGCAGTGTGGCCAGCAGGTGTGTCTCATAACTGGCATAGGTTGGCAGCACCGCCGCACCCTACTAAAGACCCAGGCTGCAGCCTTCTGGAAACCTGACCCACAGGCGGCTGCCAAGTTTAGCAGAGCCCCCACCCCGCGCCCAGCCCCACCTTCTCCTAATGTGCTTGTTTGACCTCTCCTTGGCCGTCAGCACTGGACCACCGGCTCTGTCTTTCCTGTCCACTTTGTCCACCTGCGGGACCCCAGATTAACCCCCACAGGGCAGCCACGTTTTCTCAGACTCGGACTGTGCAGGAAGCAGTAGGCCAGTGTGTCAGCACATTCAACCTCACGGGACTTTCGCCACAGCTCCATGAAGTACCCATGTTTATGGTCCCATTTTACAGATGGAGAAGTTGGAGGTTTAGAAATAGAAAAGCAACCTGCCCTCTGCCCCAATCTAACACAACAGAGCTGAGGGTCCGCTCAGGTGTCCTACACTGAGCCCACCTCTCCCATGGTGACACTGTGTGGGGCCTGTTCCAATTTGATGGAGAGATGAGACGTGCGGAATCTCATTCTCCTCACACGCTCAGAGTGGCAGGGCCAGTATGACTGCCTTTGCCCCACCCACAGACGTCGCTGCCATTAGCACAGAAGTGGGGAGAACACCTGCATGTCCCCTGCGTGCCTTCAGCAGAACCCCAAGATTAAGCCAACACTGTGTCCTCCCCAGTGGACCCCAAGTCGCCGAGAAGACACACAGCCCCGAGGACCCCATCCCAGAAATGAAACAGGGCGGAGCAGATGCAGGGAGGGCCCCCAAACCCAGCTGCACATCTGAGCAGTTGAGTTTCAGGAAGTTCAGAAGGAAATGCTGCCCTGTCCTGTCCCCTCTCTGGGGAGGACACCTGAGAGCTAGGAAAGGCCTGCCTGGGGAACCGTCCAGCCTGCATAAGCCTCTGTTGGCCATAGAGCCCTGGGGAACCCTCCAGCCCGGAGTAAGCCCAGGTTGGCCATGGAGCCCTAGGTGCAGACCAAACCTCTGCAAAGCCCAGTCTATGTAAGGAGAGAATGAGCCAGCAGGACATCCTGGCTGTCCCTCACCTGGACACAGGGGCATCACCTCCTGAGTGCTCTCGGAAGCAGGTTCCCCACCCTGCAGCACCTTAGAAGCCTGGGCCTAGAGCCTGAAATTCTAGAAGCCCTCCACTGGGCAGCGGGTAGGGGAGGGGTGTCACTGGCCCTCTGGAGAGACTCTCAACCTGTTTCCTAGCCATGGGTCAGCGTGTCCCCATGGGCTGAACCCCAATCCATGAAGCTCCCACAGGTAGAAGTGGAGGCTCAGAGCCCACTCTGCTCAGTCTTCTAGACCCCAGTCTCTGAGCCAGTCCCTGGAAAGCAGGCCTTCCCACTGGACACTGCAGCGACACCACTGGACACTGCTGGGTCAGGGTGTCCCTGAATTAGGTCAGCAGGGGTCCTCCTGATGCACCATGCAGTGGCCAGCTCTGCCCTCCTACTCTTTTGAGTGTGACCACCCCCTTCCCAGGGTGACCCTCAGATATAGGAAAGGAGAAATGTTCACATCTCCACAAGCCCCAGGTCAAGGCTGGCCAGAGCCACGTGTCCTCCCTGGTCTGGCACCCGGGAGACATAGGACCCTGAGACAAGGGTGGCCACTGCCATCCCCACGTGGCCTAAAAACAGCAGCAGGTCTGGCCCCTCCCTTCCCACAGACCACAAACATCCCTGAGGACAGTGGCAGAGGCTCCTGACCAGTATAAGCTGTGACCACATGGGAACACCGGCCAGTCCCCGATGGAGGAGACAGGCCTTGAGGCAGCAGTGTGGGCACACAGCCCTGCTTACCTCAAACACCTCCTCATCCAGGATCCGAGTGCCAAACACAATGATGCCATTCACGTCTATCATGGGGTGGTCGCTGCGGTCTAGGAATTTGGTGGCCTTCTTTTTACAGTCAAGGATCAAGGTGACATTTTTCTTGTGAATGCTGAGAGCAATTCTGTGCCACCTGCAAAGAAAAGAGACAGCCTGGTGGTAAAGAGGGGCTTGTAAAAAGAGGGGCTTGTATCGCTGATGCCCATCCAGGTGGCTTCGTTGACAATCCCTGGAGACACATGAGGAGTCTACGCCCCGCACAGCTGCAACAGGACTGGGCACATCAAAGCCCAGCCTCTGGGGAGGGACAAGTCTGGGCACAGATCCCAGTAACATCTCACCATCATGAGAATGACTCAAAGTCCAAAACCTCAGAATTCTCGTCTCTCAGGTGAGGACAGTTGTCTGAATCTGTGGGCTCCTCAGGATGCCCAAGTGTGGGTACGAGTGTGGGGCTCAGAACTCGGGCGTGCGCGCCCAGGAGTGGCAGGGAGGCAGCCATCCCATTCTCACACTGGCAGGAGACTGCAAGTCCTGTGTGTGTCATCTGAACCCTGATGATGACCTAGAGTCTTCTGGACAAGACCAAATTTTCACAGGAAACAGCAGAATGAGACTGACCGAGTCTCATCCTCAAGGTCTTCACGCAGGACCTCGGATGCGTTCCCCGTGGAGGAGGTGCTTTCGCACCACGAGCACTGAGGCGGGCACCCAGCAGACAGCTCCGGCCAGACCCCCTTTGTTTCCCTTCTCCTTCACTCCCACATCTAAGGCATCTGTACCTTGAAGGGTACCTTAAATCAGGGGTATCCAACCCTTCAGCCTGTCTGAGTCACACTGGAAGAAGAAGAGCTGCCTTAGGCCACACATTAAATACACAAAGACTAACAAAAATTGAAAAGCAAAAAGAAAAGGACCCACGCATAACTTCTGTGATATCTGCCACCACAGATAAACAAAAAGTCCTCACGTCATCATCCTAATTCTGCAGCCCAGTCAGTCTTTTACAATCGTCAAGCAAGTCCCAAGTTTGCAATCGCTAATATAGAAATGTACATATATCTAAGCAATAAAAGGTGTTCGGGTTTTTTTAATTTTTTTATTATATGTGTAAAAGTGGACAACACAAAACTAGTGGGATACTTGACATTGTATTGAGAAGCTAACGCAGTAATGGCTGGTTGCAAGTAGGTCCAGGTCTCAGTGAGTTCTCAAGGGGCTCATCAGATGTTTTGGGTCTAGTTTTGCTCTTAATGTGCTTCCTTCTTGAAAATACTTGCTCACACCATGCAGGGGCTGCCAAAAAGCAATGACATGAATAAGGTGCGATTGGGAAGTAAGGGGTATTTGTCTCTGAGAAGACAGGCCCTAGAAAAGTCCAGTAAAGAGACAGGATCAGATTTTTCTTTAGCTGACTGTCAGATTGCAGCTCTGTGCATTCCATTTGAAAACTGGCAGGTAACATATTCATGTCAACTGCAAATAGAGACACAAATGCACAGAAATATTGATTATTTTCCCAGAAATCTTGAAATCTGTTTCCAAATTCTTGTGTCAAATTGAAAGCACGGTTGCCTATTTTTCCAAGTGCGTAAAATTATTTGCCTTAATTTGGGCTTGCCATAATTTTAGTTTCATTTGAATGCTGTTATGGTTTGAAGCAACAAAGTATTGGTTTCCACCTTGAAGACACATGTGTAACTCATTTAAATGAGTGGTCAAATCCACTAAAAATGCTAAATCTAAACCAGTTTTCATCATCAAATTCTGGCACAAATTCGGCTTTGGATGCCATAAATGACTTTGATAACACGTCACAAATCAAAAAATCTTTTCAACCTTTGGCCTCAACTTAGCCATCTTACTTCTGAAAAGTAAATGATGACACCATAGTAACATATTTTAAAGAATTCCTGTAATTAGTGATCATTCAATCCCGTGCCCCTTATGAAATTCACAGTCTTTTTTTTTTTTTTGTAGTTTTTTTTGTCCAGGGCCGGGTTTGAACCCGCCAATTCCAGCATATGGGGCCAGTGCCTTACTCATTCGAGCCACAGGCGCCACCCAGAAATTCAGTCTTGATGACGATTTGCATGATGTTATCCATTTTTTAAGATTTTGCACATAAATTTTCTCAAGGTTCCACGCAATGATCCTTCCCCAGACGTGCGTTTGGGGCAGCAATTGCATGGTCTTCTATTAACTTCACAAGCCTCTCCCCTTCACCCACCATCGCCAGAGCACCATCAATAAACACACCAGATATGTTGACGATGGACAAAGAAAATCGCCTTAACATGCTTTCTACTGTTTCCCGCAAATCTCGCTTTAGCTGTGTCTTCCGTGGCACTAAGGAAGCCATCTCTTCAGTGACACGATATTCATCATCAGCACCTCTAATAAAAACGGCAAGTTGAGCCGTTTTTGTAGCATCAGCGCCGTCTCCATCGCCAAAGCATGAAGTTTAAACTCAGCAGCTGTACGCGCCAGCATTCTTTCAGTACATTGTCCAGCTTCTTTAATTCACCTGGCCATAGTCTGGTGAGACAAACTGACTTTAGAAATAGCCACCCTTTTTTCCAGGGCAAATGATATCTGCCAGGCTTTCCGTACACTGCTTAATAAACTCACCATCAGTAAATGGTTTTGATAGTTTTGCTATTAACTATGCTACCACATAACGAGCTTTTACAGTGGAATCCATCTGACTTGTAACTTTAAAAAAAATTCTGTTGAGAACACACACTTTTTTCAGTTCTGCTGTTTTGTCCTTCACACCCCCTGGACTGGGCAGCGTGTTTTTGCATATGCCTTTTCGAATTATAGTCTTTGAAAACCTGCACAAATTCCCTACAAATTAAGCACAGCACCTTCCTTTGTGCCTCAACAAAAATGTAGCGATCTACCCACTTTTCATGGAACAGTCACCCTTCATCTGTAATTTTTCTTTTTTTGTGCTCTGTTTTCTTTTGAGATGTAGAAGCCATTCTGGGATTAAAAATATAATAATTAATTAATAAGGGACTATTAATTTACTTGTATTATGAAAATTAATTGGCAGGAAACTAGAAACAAGGTTTGGGCCGGTCCACATCCCAGCTGTGAGTGTAGGTGAAGCCAGGCTGACTGTAAAGCACGCAGGGGTGGGGGGTGGATATGCGAGGCAGCGCCGAGGTGTGGAAGTACTTTAATCAAATACGAACACTCACCTGACTCCTAAATAACATCAAATACCCAACATTGCAAAGGTGGCTGAAATAGTATTGGTAATCGCTGCCTGGCCAAGTCACCACGAGCGCATGTGACGTCTGATGGTGTCATTTGACTGAGCTTGGAAGACAACACACAGGTAGCTGCATACTGCATGAAGCTGAAATCCCACGTGTGTACTAACATCAAGCGCGCACATATGTTCATTTTATGCGACATTGCAACATGGTGTCATCCACAAATTTCATGCTCAAGAACCACCCAATCGAGTTCTACCAAAATATCACAAACAAATTCTCATAATGTTTTAAGTAAACTTATGATTTTGTGCTGGGCCTCATTCATGGCCATCCTGGGCTCTGCAGGCCATGGGTTGGACACCCCTGCCTTAAATCCTTTCTGGAGCAAGTTGGACATAACTACACAGCCTCCTGCTTCCCTTTCTGATACAAAGAGGCTAGTGCTGGACATGCTCTAGTACCCGGGGAGAGAGAAGACCTGCTACAGGCACAGGACCAACCCAGGTCTCGGGGCTCCAGCTCAGCAACTCTTCCTCTGCTGCCACACCTGAGGCGGTCTCAGTGCCAGCCGTTACACGGCCGCTGTGATGCCCCATATCCAGCCAGCAGGCGCTAGAGAGCCTGCAACCCCCTCCAGCAGGACGGGGTTCCCAGCGTGCCCACTTACTTGCCATCTGACAGGTTGATGCCCCTGAAGAGGGGGTAGTCCTCTGGCCCTGGCTTCCCCGTGTGGTCCTCGTAGAGGAAGACGGGCGAGCGCCCCAGCTCCAGGCCGAGCTGTTGGATGCCCTGCTCATTGTAGACAGAGACCAGAAAGGCCTGGCTGCCTTTCTTGGCTTTCACAGTGGTGAGGATGGAGAAGTCCTCGGGAAATGCAGATGCTGGAACAGAGGACAGAGGTAAGAAGGCGGTCAGGGAGTCCCCTCCCCCTGCCCACCTGTGGCTCTCTGCAGACAAACCATTGACAGGACCTGGCAGCACACAGCCGTCTGCTGTGCATCTGTGCTTTGATCAAACTGTTCCTGGAGCCCTTTGCTACTGCCACTTGTCCAAGCCTGGCCCCTCCAAGGTCCATTCAAATGCACCTTCCATGAAGCCTGACTGGTCCTTCCACCTGGGAGCCTCACCCCGGCCCGCCTCTGCTCCTGCACCTCAAAATATCTGCATATCAATCCCAGTTATCAGCTCCCAGACTACAAGCTGCCCCTGGGCAGAGGCTGTTTCTGAAGCAGCCTGGTATCCTGCACAGCATCCAGTCACTCAGCATTCACTGGGGGAAGGAGGGAGGCAGGGGGAGAGAGGGGGGGAGGCAGGGGGAGAGAGGGGGAGGCAGCGGGAAGAAGGAAAGAGGGGAAAAGGGAGAAGGGAGGCAGTAGCTGTGGGATCACGGCTGGAAGTGTGCTTTTTGATATTTCCTAGTCAACTTGCCAAACGCAGAAAAAGTAAAACTAAATTAGAAGACTTCAATCCAAATTTAATTTTTTTTAATCCCTAGTGTGTTGACAAGAGGAAATGCCCCTTGCAACATGGGCCAGAAACCATCTGAGGTGGCCAGAGGCAGACGCAAGCTGCCCTGTCAAGCTTGCCCGGGCCCATGCCTCACACCTCCCCACGGTCCACCTGTGTGACAGGAGGCCTCAGTCCCTCCTCTGCATCATCCTGGTGGGAAGGTCATTGGCTCCGGTGTGTGCAATCTGCGATTCTGCCAGGAGCCCACACCACCTGACAATGTGTGGCTAAGGATACATGGTGGGGCGGCAGCAGGACACAGAGAGACTGAAGAGGGTCAAGGACCTGCCTCGGAGCCGCCTGACTCTCAGCAATGCTCCAGGGCTCAAGGGCTTGAAGAATCCATTCCCTGAGCCACCCCTTCCTGGGCAGAGGGCCCTGAGGCCTTGGAGCACGGCTGGCGTGGCATCCACTGCTGTCCGTGAGCGCCCTCTGCTGATGGACCTCAGTGCAGCCTCTGGTCATGGGAGCAGAGCTGCAGGTGCCACACTTGGGTAAAGGGGACATCAGAGGCCCCACGCCCAGCAGCCTAAGACTCCCTAAGTGGGCAGAGGTTGACACCGCCTGCCAGGGCCTCTGCAACCTCTGGAGGACACAGGCCAGTGAAATCTCTCCAGAGCAATAAAGACGGAAACCAAGGCCCCTCCAGATAGTTAAGTCCACCCGGGCCCCCAGAGGCCACCCCAGAGTGTTGTGTGAGCCCCCCAGGCTGTGACAGAGGCAGAAGTGGGGCAGAGAACTCATCCTGGGCCGTCTCCCCTACCCACTCAGGTGCCGCCCTGCAGAGGCCCAGGGCTTCCCCACCCCAGGTCAGGCGTCCTGCACTGATGGCCCTGGTCTGTTTGCTATCCTCACAGCCATGATACTGCTGTCCCCACAGAGGCCTGGGTCACAGTGCTCTCAGTCCCCACCCCCATGCTGGGGGACAGATGCAAGTGCTGAGTGACAATGTCAGTGCAGCCATCTGAGGATGGGCAGATTTCAGAGAGGAGCCAGTACAGACTGCCCTCCTCTTCTGGACAGGGAGCCATCCAGGAACGGATGTGCTGAGGTCACCACTGCCACACAGCCATGGGCTTCATACTGTCCCTCTCAGTGTGGGGCTGTGGGTGGGGAATCTAACGGCCTTATCAGGGACCCCCAGTGGTGGGGGAGCGTAAGGCACCCTGTGCACACCCACAGGGAGAGACCCCAGCCTGCAAGGCCAGCGGCAGGCTCTTGGAGGCCTCACAGGTCCCTGGAGGGGCACGCAGAGCCAGGGTGGTGTTCAACCTGCAGCACACGGAGGTCCCTGTCCACACCCAGGCCCAGCAGGGACCGGAGTTAGCCACTCCCTCACTCTCATTTCAGAGGGTCCCCTGGACACCCCCATGCCAGGAGAACACTGCGTCCTGATGGTCACTCTGTCCTCAACAATGACAGGAGGAGAAGTGAGAGCTCCTTCTCTGCAGCACGACCCACTGTGAGGACCACCAACCTCCATGTCTCAAAGCTCATTAAAATGCTGTCTCTGGAGTTCTAAAATCACTATAGTGACAAATTTTCTCAGCTCAGATAAAACTCAAAAGGATAAATTATGTTTAACATAAATCTCTCTCCTGGAAAAATAACAATGGATTTATTGTCACGGTAAGATGGCCCATGCTAGCCGTGACACGATCTGGGACGCTGACATGCTTCATAATCTACTCTGGACGGTCAGGGAGAAACAGGGCTCCTGCCAGGTACTTCATATTTCATCTCTCCAAGAAAAGTCACAACTGAGGGGTGGGCTCAGCATTTCCCCTGCACTTGGGCTGAGGCCCGAAGGCAAGGACATGGTCAGGTGCGCGGTAGGAGCCTAATAGCACCCTTGCCAGGCCTGAACCAGCAGCTGTTGGGCATATGGATTAATCACTTGATTTGCTGATGTGATCAATAAGCACTAAGTGGTCTCCTTTGTGGTAGGCTCTAAGGAAACACAGTTGAGGATAGATACATATGGTCCCTGTCCTCAGGCAGTGACATTTACACGATACAGACAAAACCAACCATCAGGAAAATCCATGTTTGGGGTTGAGCTCCCCAGCCTCGTGGCTCTCAGAGCCCAGGTCACTGGGTCTAACCAGAGTAGAAAAGCTCCCAAGCAAGAGTGGAACCCTAATCTCCGCCCTGCCCAAGTGCAGGGTGACACAGCTGCTGGGTACGGGGCTGGGAGGGGCCAGGTCTGTGCTGAGAGGAAGGGGACAGTGTCCTGATGAAGGCAGAGCACCCCATGACCCTGACCCATTCAGCCTGCTGAAGGGCACAAAGCATCTTCAGGGAATCCGGGCAGGCCGCTCAGGGGAGGACTGGGGACTTTCTTTTCACAGAAATAGGCCACCTGGGCTCGGGCTTTCCCTGCACAGGTCCCCACAGCCTGGGCCTTACTGAGGCCACCTGGGCCACACCATCGCTCGCTCTGCAGCTGTCGAGGCAGGCCCAGCTGCTCCCCAAAGATGAGGGTATTTCAGCTCCCAGCCCTACATGAGGTGGCTGCTATGGGACTGTACTGGTCCCCTGGAAACAGCCATTTCTTGTCTGACTGTACAAGCCAAGCACTTTCCAAACAGTCTGAGCAGGGCCTTCTACATTAGCCGGGGTAGAAGGGAATAAAGCAGAAAGCACAGCCTGTGGACGCTTGCTCAGACACACAGAGTCTTGGTGGTTGCCCAGGTCTGAAGCCAGCAAGGTCACAGTGCCCAGTTCTTCAACAATGTGCCCTGAACATCGTTCCCGACCCGACGCTTGGGGGCCTGCAGAAATCTCTCCTTCGATAGTTCCAAAGCAACCTCCAGGGCTATTTGCCCTTAATGAGGCAGCTGATACACAGGGACCTGATCTACTATATAAGCTAGTTATCACTAGAGGGCCCTGTAAGAGCAAGCTAAACACTTTGGAGGACTTAGAAAAAACAAGAGCTTGAAAAAAGATTCCCACCATACTGTTCAGCAATTCATCCTAGCTTTCCAGCACGACCCTGTATTCCTGAGATCCTGTGGTGTTTCTGGCCACAAGATAACCCAGCAGGGAAGAGAATATGAAGGCTCAAAGTCCAGAAAATTTCTGTGCCAATGCCCCAGAATTGGGCTACAAAGGTAAGATTTAACAAACTGGTTAAAGATGCCCTCGAAGGGTCGGGTCCCCGATTTCCACGGTGTACCCTTATAGCAATGTGTGCACAGGGGGCATTTATGCTAAAGCTCAATGTCCACACAGCGATCAGCTCTCACTAGCCTTTCCCTGGCCCCAGAAGGCCCAGTCTCTTTAGGTCAAGATCCCTCTCCCTGGGGTTTTTTCCCTGTGGCTTCCAGGCAAAAACATAAGTCAGTGTTCAGTGGGTGATTCTGAAAGACATATTGTGCCCAGGTTAAGAAACACTCCTGTGTGGGCGGCACCTGTGGCTCAGTGGGTACGGTGCCGGCCCCATATATAGAAGGTGGTGGATTCAAGCCCGGCCTCGGCCAAACTGCAACAAAAAAATAGCAGGGCGTTGTGGCAGGCGCCTGTAGTCCCAGCTACTCGGGAGGCTGAGGCAAGAGAATCACTTAAGCCCAAGAGCTAGAGGCTGCTATGAGCTGTGATACCACAACACTCTACTGAGGTTGATAAAATGAGACTCTGTCTCAAAAAAAAAAAAAAAAAAGAAAGAAAGAATGAAACACTCCTGTGGGTATGTGGAAAACCAAATCCCTGCAGTTCCTTGGGGCACAAGCTCATCCTTCCTGATGAGTGAGACATTCTCAGGCTGGGTATCCACAACCCAGGGCGATTCTGGTACCCACAAAAACATCTGTGGAGCTCGAGGCAGGGTCTCAGCACCTCTGAGGGGATTCATCTCCCCCAAATGACATTCTTGAAAAGAACTGACCCTGACTCTCTCTCAGAGACAAACTCTAAAAAGTCATAGTGCTTGCCAAGGAGGGCTGAGAAAATGGGTGTGGATAAGCACATATCACAAAGAGGTCAAGCGAACACACAGCCAGGGTAAGAGGGCGGCCTGCAGGGACCCGGTGGGGCGACTGATTAACAGACACCTCATTACTCATTAAAACACTGCCCTGGTTCCAGGTTTGATGTTGGGGTCGCACCCAGGTCATCACATAGATAGTGCACTCTCTTCTAATAATTACAAAACATCTCATGAAGAGAATTCGTCTGCCCAGGGTCCCCTAGTCCCCATCTCACTGGAATCAGAAAAAGGAGCTATTACAGGCCAAGCCCCAGCAGCAGCCTGAGGCAGCGGGAGGAGGCAAGCTGTCATGGGCTCATTTATACAGATCCAGATACGCCCAGAGGGTTTAATTAACTCCGGGGGAGGGGGACACCATGCCACATGGCTGGGGACCGGGATAAGCTGGACAGTGCATCTTACCAGCTAAGGTGGCTTTCCACTCGGGTGTGTAATTACAAGCAGAGATGTGGTAATTGGCAATTGATTCTCATTACCAGCTTCGCGCTCTCTTGCTGAGAGTCATAATGTTTGATTCATGAGCCTCTTAGTGTCATTGCCCCCAATTAGGCCTCTGTCGGGAAGGGCTTCCTTTCCCATGACCCTGAGCTGCTCTTAACCTCACTCCAGGACTCAGCCACCTCCCTTCACACTTGCAGTCCTGGTGGCCCGTCTACAGCTGGAGATACACCTGCCCAGAAAGGAAGGGTGCAGAGGCCTCATGCATCCACCTCTGGAACTGTTTTCTCTGTAAGGATGTCAACCAGGCTCTGAGAGGAGCTTCCCAGGACAGCAGCACAGAACCCCGTGTCTCTTACCAGGGTACAGCTGCTTGGTGGGTGCGCTGAGCTGTGCATCTTTGGTGACTCTGTAAGCAACGTCCGGGCTTTTGGAGGATTTCCGCATCGGGCAAAAGCCTGTTGTCTTTGTTATTCCATCGGGCAAGTTGTGAAAATCTAGAACCTTCAGGAGATCTGCTGGCTGAGCTGAAATGACAGAGGAGTAGAATTAGCCACAGAGAGGAAGGAAGAGCCCCACGGGCACCCCAGAGGGCCAGGAGGACCACGGCCAGCCCCTCACCACCTCCCAGCCCTGCACCACCACCAGTCTCTGACAATTGGAAGACACTGGGCCCAGCATAGCTGGGAGCTGGGGAGGCAGGGCACCGTGCCCTGGGTAAGGGTTCCATGCCTGTCCCTCAAGCACCCACGTGCCAGGAGCAGCCCCAGCCACTCTCCTCTGATGACTGTGCCTGCTTTGGTTCCCACCTGCTCACTCTCTCATCTCGAACCCTCAGTGGGTAAGAGCTTGGCCGCCCCAGCGCCCCAAGGCCCGTTCTCATCGGCAGGTAAGGACACAGCTCCACACAGAAGCTGGAAGACCACAGGAGATGGGCTGCCAACAGGACCATCTTTGATAAAATGGGAGTGGCTGAGCCACCACTCAAGAGGACAAAAGCAAAGGCCACTGGCACATCTTGCCCCTCACTGTCCAACTAAAGTAAAGTCCCCAGAATAGCTTCCAGCAAATGTCCAGTTTCCAGGCACCCCTGGCATCCCAGGAGACCCACCCACGGAACAACATAGAACAGAGAACAGGAGCAGCCCCGCCTCCTTTCCAGAAGGCTCCTGAGTCTCCTCCATCCAGGGGCTGCTGAGGGCAGGGCAGGGCAGAAGCTGACCCATACCACCACCTGAAGCACTGACATTTGCAGGCGAGCCCAAGAGTCCTCCAAACACAAACTGGCCTCCATCTGCCGGGACTTCCTTCCCATACCCCGAGGACCCCAGACCTGCAGCCACTGCAACTCTTAGGGTCCAGACGCCTCCCTAAACCAAGTCAGTTCCACCTGGAAAGCTGAGCTCCTGTTACTACATACAAAAGGCTCCCTGAGAGTCCGGGCAGAAAAAACAGACTCAAAGTGACAGAACATGTGTGCCTAGGGCTGGGGCACCACCCTGGGGCACATAGGAGCCCAAGGCTCGTATCTGCAGGGGGGCGTGGAAGGGGCTGGACACACCATTCTGCAGCCAATCAGAGCACAGCACCACCATGTCCCAGATGTCCTGGTAGGACTGATGTGACCAGGCCAGGGGGGCTCATCCTGATGCATTTTCCTTTGGGAAGGAGGGGTCCTCCCTGCTCTGCTGCCTTCAGACACAGATTAGGAGTGTGGAGCTGTAGGCAGCTGTCTCCCAGGGAGCAGAGACTTTTGCCACGCAGTTGGGTCACCTGGGTCAAGCTGAGCCTGAAGACAGTCATCCACACAAACATGTTCATTGTTATGCTCATGTCAATTTGGGCTGGGTTCCGAGTCCTGCTACTAAAAGGTGAGGGCCCACCCTGGGTGCAGCAGGGCCCTAGGCAGGCCTGCTTCGGAGCTTGGCTCTCCCTAACTTTCATTTCTCCTGGCCTTCCTCCCCAGGAAGGTGTTACCAAATGCCTGGGCGGGAGATCTGGAGTGAGAAAGGACAGCCAGTGCAGCTGGGGCCCTGCAGCCAGGGAAGGTGGGTCCTCCAAACAGCCAGGCATCTCCACCACTTGTCCGGGCAGACCCCTAACAAGAGGCCCCCAGTTCAAGGACCTGTCCCCCAACAGGGTACAGTGCACGGTTCAGGCCCCACACACAGAGCTGGGCCAGGCTCTGAAGGAGATGGGGGCCCATCAAAGCTGCTCTTCTCCACCAGGAATCGCCCCCAGGCCATAAGTCTCCCCGGAAGGTGCCACAGGACCCAGACCCAGAGACGTGAGGGCCCCTCCTCCAAGGGCACCACTTGTACAACTTGGCTGCTACAGTACCCAGACCTCAGAGATGTGAGGGCCCCTCCTCCATGTCTACAGCTTGGCTTTGCTACAATCCTGTCAATTTAATCAAGAAACCAGAAACATGGAAGACTGAGGATGTCAAGGGTAGGGGGACTGCATGGTGACCCAGGACGCTTAGGACCAGGTTTCCAGGATGGCCTCCTCTCATTTACAGAACCTCTGCCTCGTGGCCTGATTTCCTGGTCTCTCCTCTCTGCCACCAGGGCCCAGCCTACCCAGCACTGTCAGTCCCCAGGCACCTGCGCTGCCCCCAAGCCCCCTAAACCCTCACTGGGCCTTTGCCTTTAACATCAGAAGCAGTGCCCAGTGAAGTGTGTGGGGAGGCACAGCCCGGCCTGGACTCGGCCGTGGGAAGAGAAGACTGCTGCCAGAACACCTGCCGGGGATGACACAGTGCCCAGCCCTGGTCAGCTGTGAAACCCGTTCCAAGGTTGCTGGTGGCCAGGGGAGGACATCAGAGATCCAAGCTGGGGCTTCCTGGACTCACATCACAACACACCCATGATGCTCTTCCCAGACTCACAGGCATCCAGCCTGTTTTCTCGATTGCTGAAGGCACAGAGCTGTTTTCCAGCAGGCTTCGTGGGTATGTTCTCAGACCTCTGTTGCAAAAGGTTTAAAAGGCCACCAGACCTCTCCCCGGCCCAATGCCACCCTCCTGCTGGCCAGGGACTTCCTGTGCCAGAGCTGGAAAAAAACACATTAGGTTTTCAAAAAGTTGTGGGGAGGGCCTGAGTGGAGCTGGGCAGCACGGGCTTCTCGAGACGTCCCTCCAGGATGGGAGCTCCGCCCAAACACACCCACTATGTGCAGCTGGGTGGGGTCTGAAGCCAGTATCACGTCCTGCTAGGGAAGAACTTGGTGAGTCGAGGCCGAGGAGGCTCAGAAGTCACCGGGCAGCCCCTGCGTGCAGTCCACACTCTTTGGCTCCACATGCATGAGCGGCCCCTGCAGGTGCGTCCAAAGTGCTCGCTGCAGACACACGGCATTGCCTATGTGGTATCCACAACCAGCGCTGCCCACTCTTCAATGTAAAGGTCATGGGAGTGCCCAGAGGCGCCTCCTGACTGATGCAAACAAGGCCATCTCCAAAGCACCATGAAACAAAAGCTGTGTGCTTACAGGTAGCCCTGCTGTGACTGGCGTAGCAAGTGCCCTGCCCTGCCTCAGCCCTGCAGCCCCACTTCCTGGCCCCTCAACCAGCACCTTCTGCACTACAGAGTCTGGTAACTAAAAACTACCTCTCCCAGATGCCCTTGCAACAAGGATTTGGGATGGAAATTCAATTCTATGAATGGGTGAGCGTCCCCTGGAGCTGGAACGTGAGTGGGAGGCAGCAGCACACAGGCTGCCCTGGTATCTGGGTGGACTGCCTGCCAGGGCCTAGAGACTCATGACCCCATGCAGTCAGGATGGCACCCTCACTGTGGCAGTGATGTCCTGAGTGGACAGTGAGTGGGGCCGCTGTGGCAGATGTCACACAGCCTGTGCCACCGCCTGGTCCCTGCATTCAAACCTCTCCCCCAAACAGCCTGCTGTGTGTGCGAGCCTGCCTGAGAGCAAAGCTCCATCATGAACAGTCCACCTCTATCATTTAATGAGGTTATAACCAGGTGTCACAGCCCCAGACTCACAGAGAAATGGGCACAGGCGAGGTCAGTTGTCAGGTATGGGAGCTGATGGAGAGAGAGCCTGGAGCATGTAGTTAGTCCCAGGTGCCACAACCCGCAGAAGGCAACAAGAAGGTCCTGGAAGCAGACACAGGCCTGACTCTGCTAGCGCACGGAGGAGCTTGGCATGGACAGGGGGCAGGGTGGAGGGAAGGACTGGCAGGCGGGTGGGCAAAAGGATCAATGGATAGACAGATGGATGAGTCAGTCATTCAGAGAGCAAATGGGGAAGTGGATGGTAAAAATCTAGACAGAGGGGCCAGAGACAGATTTTTCAACAGGGGCGGCTACGTCACCCACTAGCAATGTGTCCCTGCCTGCACAAGGGTGACCTCCCCTCTCCCAGTGAGCCCCCACGGAAGTCCTCTGCTTTACTGCCAGAGCCTACCCCTAGATGCCTGAGCACCGCACACCAGACCTGCTGCCCAGCCACGCCACCCAGTGGCCGCAGCTCTCAGCACCAAGACAGCCCTGGCTGGGACCACCAGTAGGCTAATGTGACTCAGCACAAGGAACTAAAGATGATGGTGAGGTACAAGGACATGGCCCTGGGCTCTACCCAAGGCCTGACACACACAGCTGCCACGATGGACACCAGTTGGGGCAGTGTCACTGCACCCAGTCCAGCAATGCTCACTTCCCTCCTTGGGACCCAGAGAGGGTGTCTGCTCAAGGCACCCTGCACCTCCGGGAACAGATGGAAGGAGATGGCTGCTTTCAGCAAGAGCTTAAATCAGCTTCTGGCTGCCACCTGGTGTCCAGACACTCCTCCTTGGTGCTTGGAAGCAAGGAGCAGGTGACTTTGGCCATGGCACAGCAGAGATCAGTGGTGTGAAGCTGGATGGGCTGGGCAGGGCTGCACTGGAACCTGGCTCTGCCCTCCACAACACAGGCCCTGGTCCGCATCATTGTCCATGTGTTGTGGAGGGTCTCAGCAGGACAATGCAGCACCTGCCTGGCAGGGGACTGGAGCCTAGAAGGGTCTTGCTGCCCCCAAGTCTCCACCCAGCCAGCCTTTGCTAAAATGTCCCTGACCACCTGCCAGGCTCCCCATCCCAGAGCCTCAGGGTCTGAGCTAAGCCCGCATGGGGACACCGACTCACCAGCCGGGTCTTTCATGAGGAAAGGAAACAGCCCATGACCTAGCCGGGGACTCTGTTTCAATCTTTACCCCAGTGGCTTTCCCTGGTGGGAATGTGCCCATCAAGACTGGCTCACTGCTTGCATTTCTAAGAGTTCAGGGCCCACCCAAACAGCTACTGGGAGGAAGTCTCACCAACTCTATTGCTGCTTGTGTCTTGCTTGTGTTCATGTGCAAGGCCCTCGTGGGGCTCCCATCTCCCCACCAGACTGTCACCCACAGGCCCGGCTGGCACCTCTCCCTTCCCGGGGTAGGCTTGGCTTATGGCTGTGGTCAAAGTGGGTCACGTCCCCTATAAAGGGGACACACTGTAAGGACAGGCCTCTCTGGCCTCTGGCCTCATCAGGGT